AAAAAAAAAAAAAAAAAAAGAAAAGAAAAGAAAAGAAATTACTCTAGGGAATTTCATTCCATTTTGCGGGCTCTTTCTTTCACCAAACGTTTGTCCACCTCGCGGAAGCGCGATCATCTCGACGAAAAGATACCTCGAGAGGAATTTCTCCGAACAATACCTAGGCGACAATGGAGGGGAAAGAAATGGGTTGGTAAAAGGATGATATAGAAGAGACGAATAAGTCGAGCAGGCAGGAAGTCACGAAGCAGAAAGGCAAGCGGCGCAAAATCGTCTTTTTTTTTTCTTTTTTTTTGGAGATGAAATTAACTGAATTGGCTGCGCACGAGTGGGCCCTTATGACGTTCAAGGCAAAACGAAACCGCGAAATGAAACCGGATGCCACGGAAATCGCCTCGAGAGGAAACGTTTAGAGAGCGTTTGGAGAGTGGAGATATTTTCGTTCCCACTTTAGCCAATATAAAATGCAAATAATACGGTTATTATTATTTTGTTCACTGATGAAACGTTCAGACGTTTAACGATGGAATCATTTTTTTTCTTCTTTTTCTTCTCTTTTTTCTATTTTTTTTTAATGATGAGGAAATAGGCAACAGAGAAGCTTGGAGTAATTGAATTAAGTTTGGTGTATATCGAGACATATTACATCTGAAAATATACATCGTTATATTTATAAATTTCGTACGATTGAAGAATTGAAATTGTTAATTTCTCGAGAATATTTAATTTAATTTCGTTTATTTGTAATAAATATCCTTCCATTATCTTTGAATAATTCTCTTAAACATTATTCTTTTAAGAATCCTTCGACCAAATTTTAACTCAACGATTAAAATATCTTGTATATGCCATAGATTTATTCTAAGTCTTAGATCTAAACAACGATATTCGATCGCCTCAAAATAATTAACTATATATATATATATTATTTTTTCAAAATTGAAAATTACATTTACAAATCGCTGGATAATGAATACTGCTCTCAAGATAAATTGTACAAGAACATTTTCATAAACAGAAATATTATTTCCACGAGCGTGCACACGGAATCGAATCAATTCCATCGAATGAATCTACCAAGAAATTGTGTTTCTTCGTAAATCTTTTCTGCCAAAGAACAATCCTCTTCTGGTGTAGAAGAAGGAGAGGAGAGGAGAAGAATGGGTTTGAGGAGGGGGATGCGTGGAATAAAAGTGTAAAGAGAACGTTTGACTCAAAGAGTCGTACTCGGTCGTAACTTTTATTTCATTTCCCTGCTCGTACAAAACGGATTTGACTTAGTCGGAGGAACATCGAGATTTATAAAAATAAGAGAACGAAAAAAAGATAAAGCAAAGGAAGCTCACTACGCGTGAAAATAAAAGTTCATCTTTCATCCTCACGATGTATTTTTTCCCCCTTGACTTTTTTCAATTCCGAGATGGCCGATTTTGCATAATCACAGTGAATGACGTATTGCTCTATTAAATGGTTTACATGCCAGGCCACTCGACCGTGTTGCCATCTGACGTCATACAACCGTGCTTGATATTCCTAACGCGATGCAAATTCGATCAGACTTGTTTCCTTTTTCCTTTCTCCCCTCCTCTCCTCTTCTTCTCCAACTTCTTGGAGAAAAATGAAATTTAGAAAATTTAGGGGAAACGGGTGTCCTTAATTGCGAGAAACTCTTATGAATTTTTCATCGAACGAGTTGCACCAGCCATAGGATTAATTTGATATTCGAATAAATTATGTTTCCGGATATTGGATCCATCGTTCGATTTCGAAAAACTTCACCGGCAGGATCCTCTTCATTTGTCAAAATTTGTGCACAGATTTATATCACTTCTTGTTTCGATGAAATTGATTACCTTTCTGGATCACAATATGCGTGCAAAGTTTTCTCGTTTCCCGTACACGTACAGTGTGTCCGGTTTATCGTGATTCGTTAAAATATGAATGATACGAAAAAAAAAAATATTTCAGACAAGTTATTATTCGATATAAAGAAATACAAGTTTAATTTAAATACAAATAATAAAACTTATCACACGGAGAAATAAAGACAATGCTTCTTTCTTTCTTATAATTTTTCTTATTTACATTATTTCGAGATATATCTGAGACACAGTCTGTATATGGATAAAAATCGATCTTTTTCGCGGTTTAAATAAAGTATTCCTGCTAATAACTCGAGGTTTACCTCTGCATGCGTTCAGGGATCTGCAGGGATCGTAAATAGGTGCACTCGAACAAGGATAATTTCTATTCGACACCCTCGGTGTTATTTTCTGTGTTGAAAATTTCGCGGGACGTTAAGAAGGAGCAGCAGCCCGGTACTCTTCGGTACAAACCGAGGCAGATTAAATTTCCATTGCAAATTTCATTCGATATGGTTCTTCAGTTACGTGACGATTCGCCTCGACGAACCCCCCTTCGACTCGTCTTCCATTTATGCAACGGTCGATGAAGCCGCGTTGTCAAAGATAATATCTTCGTTAAACTGGTTATCGATCGTTTTTTCGTGAAGGATAACAGGGTTGTACAATTTTATTCATCGAAATCGAAGAAAAGTTGTATTTAATATCTATCTTTTTGATAGAGTTTCCTTCTCATGGTTAAGTTACTTGAATATTTTTTTAAAATTATTTTGTGGTTTTAATAATATTTGGATGTATTTAGAAAGCTAAATGAAATCCTTTATATTTTTGCAATCGCAATGGATATTATTGTAATTCTATAATGATGTATTTAAAAAGTAATTTTTAGAGATTGTTATAAAAATATCTTCCGTTTGAAAATTATATATATAAAGCTTCTTTGAAATCTT